GATGAGGGATTCAGCAAACAATTTGCAAAGATCCTTTTTTTTTCATGAAATCCTTTTTCCCCTGTTCCTTTCTTTTCAGTTCACCATGTTTAGGCATTATCTTGCCTGCATTACTGCAGTAACTTCCTAATTGGCCTTATCTCCTTCTCCTTTCATCGAATCTAAAACACTATCACCAGATGAATCATTCTAAAATATCTCTTTCATCAAGACCCTAATTATGACCCACTAAAATACTTTCCATGGACCTCCAGTTTGAGTGGGATAAAGTCTAATCTTCCAAACCCTTTAATTCTGACTCTAGGGACCCTCCACAATCTGCTCCTAAATTACTATTTTTCACCTTATCTTTCACTGCTCTTCACCACTGTTCTTCCATTTCTTTTAGGCCTGCTTACTTACTCTGTTCTGGGCTTTTGCATGAGTCATTCTGCTTGTTTAGGACAATTTCACACTGTCTGTAAATAACGGTCCAGCCCCCTGATCCCAGACATACACTCAAACCCAGTTACGGTGATGTGCCTCACCTCTGAATTATTGTGGGTCTTTGTGCTATGGCACTACCATTTGTATCACTCATTTCACACATCATATTCTCCACTTTGGTTTTATTTAGCATTTTATGTGTCTGGATGTCTGGCCTCCTTAACTTCCCGTAGGTGAAGATCATCCGTGTCTCTTTCTATTTATGTTTTATATTTGCAAGAATGTACTGGATGGTATTTTTTACTTTGCCTTTCTGTCACATCCCTAATTTAGGCCCTCCCTGACCTTGATAGGGGTGTGGGAATGGTGTCTTAACTCACGCTATTCTCCATGTAGTTTCTTGCAAGGTTTTCCTAAAGTGCACATCTGATCAGGTCACATCCTCTCTTAAATCTAAGTCTCTCTACTGCCTTTAGGTTAAAATGCATAGTCTTTTGCTTGGAACGTGAGGCTGTCCCTGGCTTAGTGCTAGCTGAGACCTCCAGCCTGGGAGGCCCTTGCACCCTGAACCCATCCATTTTACACTTCTGCCTGCAAGGTCCTTTGTACCTCTCCCCATCCACAGTGGCTCAGAGGCTACCATTGAGACACTCAGGTGGGAGGGGCTCCCCAGAAAAACCCCAATAGGCCTGCCCACTGGGGTAGTGCCTTGGGAAGTTCATGCTGTTTGCAGGGGGGTGGGGGTGGGGAGCCTGGCTCCTCCTCTTCCTGTGTGGAACCTGGAGTTTGAATGACAAGATGGGAAGTGCTCTAGCAGGGGACTCTGGCCTGCAGGCCGTCCCTGTTTTCCCCTTTTGCTTCTTTCACTCAACAAAATCCTGTTTTACTGATCATTCAAATTGTTTGCAAGCCTGAATTTTCATTGCCATGGGACAAAAGACCCCCTACTTTAGCTGAACTAAGGAAAAGTCCTGCAACGCCGTCTTGCCCTAGCTGCTCTGATAGTCGGCTTCTGTAGCTGCATTATGAGTTTTCCTACCCTCAGGCTGAACTCTATGAAGAAACGGGCTGTGTCTTTTTTCTATATAGCCCCAGGGCCTAGCTCACTGCCAAATTTGATAAACAAATGAATCGACCATTTGTGTCAACAAATCTTTTTATTTTTTACTTTGATGAGTGAATCTTGTGTCCTTGTGTGAATTTCATCTTACAATGAAGGTTGTTACAAGGAGTTCTAATCTCTTTGAAGGTCTGCATATCTATTGCACATCAATTTTCTTCTTGTAAACTCCCAGATTTTTTTTCTGTTGTATCATTTTCTAGCACAAAATAGTTATCAAATAAATATTTATTCATTAGATAGCTGGATTGTTTTACGGGATTACTTTCTCCATATCCAGGGTGTTTTTTCTTTTTGGTTTGGAAGAGTTTGCCATCCTATCCATTTTTCAGTCTAGGCAAAAAAAACCTTTCCTGGAATATCTGTCATAGTAGAGCAAGGAATGAGTTTACCCCTTCAATGCAAGATTGGTTATGCTTAGAATAGAGCTTAGTACAGAGCACATACTCAGTAAATGTGTGTGGAATAAATGAATGAGGCAATCATATATAAAATATTGACTAATTTTGTACATTTTTCTTGAAACCATTTTGCAAAGATATTTTTAGTTTTTCAAGTTGCTTTCAATTTTATGATTCATTTTTTTTTTGGTTCTGCTTGATAAACTCTGTTTATTACTTTCTGCTGCTTAAATATTCAGTGACTTCTATAGTTTTATCAAAGGATTGTAGCAATATTTCCTCAGTAAAGCAGGATAATTTATTTTCTAATTGCATTAGAAATGCCAGGACTTCCCCTGTCTTAAAATAACGTAGGGAATTCTTTTTGGTGTCTAACCTAAGAAGCTTAAAAAAAAAAAAAAAAGAAAATTAGAGCTTGTCTTAGTCTGCTCAGGCAACCATAAGAAGGTATTGCAGGATGGGCAGTGTAAAGCCACAGAAATTTCTCTCACTGTTCTGGAGGCTGGGAAGTTCCAGATCAAGGTATGGTAGGGCTGGTGAGGGCTCTCTTCCTGGCTTGCCAACAGTTACCTTCTTGCCATGTTCTCATGTGGCCTTTCATTGGTGTGTGCACATGGAGAGAGAGAGGGAGAGCAAGAGAGAGCTGTGTGTCTCCTCTTCTTAGAAGGACACAAACCCAGTCTGATCAGGACTTTATCCTGTGACTTCATTTAACCTTAATTACCTCCTTAGAGTCGCCCTCTTCAAGTACAGTCACATTTGTGGTTAGGGCTTCAACTAATGAATTTTGGGGTGACACGCAGTTCTGTTCATACCAGGGCTGAACGTGAAATGATCTGAATATGTAAGGGAAATTTTGAGATACTTAAGTGACATACATTTTGTGAAGGTGCTTTGAAATACCCGAAGTGTCACGTAATTATAATATAACCTGCTATCATGAGCTAGTTTCTTGTTTTTTCTTCTTTTGAGACAGGGTGTCACTCTGTCACCCAGGCTGGAGTGCAGTGTTATGATCTTGGCTCACTATATCCTCCACTCCTGGGTTTAGGTAATTCTCGTGTATCAGCTTTCTGAGTA